GGCTTGTGTAACTTCAAGACGTAATTCTTTAATTGTTTTAAATTTATTAACTCGATAATACGGAATTTCAGGTTCTAAATCTTCATCTCTTATTTCTGGATTAATATCAGCATTTTGTTTGATGATCTCCCTAATTTTCTCCCATCTTGAATCAGTTGTTGACCCTGAATAGACTAGTGTGATATTAACGGGTGCTTTCAAAGCTATAATTTTGAAAGTAGTAGTATTATTGTTATCAATGGAATTTTCTTGGAATGAATTGTTTGATTTTTTTTTTTGTTCATTGACTTTTATTATATTGTTGACTACATAATTTTCCAAATCGTACTCAGTTATTATCGGGTTAATCCTTCTCCGTTTTAAAAAATTCTTTCTTGCCATATTGGTTTAAATTTGTAAATGATTAGCTTGACTTGATTAGATTAGACTAGATATTTTGCCGCTCTGTAAATATTATTGATGTTTGCAGTGCTGATGATCACTGTATTAATTTAGCTAATTTAGGAACAACCAAACGGTATAAATAAAACAAATACAAATAATGTAAAACAAAGTAATAATGAAAAATGAAAATGACAAATATGATAATAAATAACTGAAAATATATTGTAATAAGGGTGGTATCTACGTATTTAAAATATAAAGAATATAAATGGGAATCGTAGGATATAAATATATTCTTAATGATATCCCTCGTATATATGTTTCATATTTTATACATGTTTCATGTTTCATGTTTTATGTATGTTTCATATGTTATAATATGTTTCATATTTTATATATGTTTCATATCTTAAACCCTTTGAATTCCTAAATGGGAATTTACAATAGTTACGGCTAATTTATATTAATCCTGAATTCAACGACATTTATAGTTCATATATCAACAACAAATTTTTATGTAAAGTATATACACTTACTTATATTATAATAGATATTTACAGAATATTATTAGACTCGATCTACAGAATCATATTACAGAGGTTGTTAGATTACATAGTAAAACTTAACGAAGTATCAAGCATCACGCATTAAATTTTGACATACCTTTTAAAACTAAACTACCTTTTTAAATCAGGATAAGTTCATTTTGTAAGATCTGACATATGATTAAACTAAAGTCTATGTTAATAATATAAGTACGGCTCAAAAGTGTAATAAAAAAATACTTGAATCAATGCTTTTGCTAGAACAATCACGAATAGCGATGATTTGTATTTCAGATTCGGGGTTAGAAGATTCCATCATGACATAATCTAGATAAAAAATAATTAGCGAATTAATTGATTTAACAATCTACGAACAGATTTGAAATAATTACAAGTCGTCCAAGAGATCGACGCGTAAGTAGTCTTAGTGAATATTTTCCTGATGATATTACCTTTCTTTAAACAAAGGAATGATTAATTACACTCCACTTAATGGTTATGATTTCTCGTTCTTGAAGGGTAAAAATTCCTTGTAGTGAAGACTTAGATCCTTCATTATCGATATATTATCAACAGAAATTCGCCCCATATTCCATAATAACATAAGGCTGATCCATAAATGCTATATCATACCAAGATTTATATTGTTTGATATCTTCGACATTACTTAAGTTATGTTTAGATCCGAATTGTTTTATCAACTTGATATATCGACAAAGCATATAAGCATACAACAAATGTTCTGGCAGAATTTATTTACTTGACCAAATTTTGAAACATGGAAATTTTACTATCGACTATGCTCATCTCTATGATTAACTGACGTGAATCTTTGTAGTTTTAAATTGAGATCTTCAACTCTTGCTCAATTGAAAAATTTCATTGAATGTGTAGTCACTATAATGCAAAAACTTCCATCAGATTTCAATACGACTGGTGGTTAAATACTATAACACGCTAAACGTTACTTCATTAGCCCCTCTGGATCACTAAAGTCAATGATTTAATATAATTTTGTAATGAGTAGGAAATTGGATGCTTTACGATCTTAAACATATTTTTGTTGTAGTGATTGTAATTACGTAATACAATTATCAAAATATCTCATATGATATGAATAAACAGTACAAATTGACAATTCTACAAAAAATTAACTATCAATTTTTGACTATACAAGTACTTTTAAATAACTGTCTACTGTTAGCTCGTCCTTCACCTTCTCTTCTATTTCATTTGAAATTAATTCCTTGTCAAACAAACTTATTTTTTTTAATGACCAAATTGAGTTCAATAAAAGTTCGTCGAAAAATATGAAAACATAGTCTCTCCAAATTATTCTTACAGCTTTATGTTGGAATCAAATAATTCTAGAATTCAGAACATTACTGCAAAAATCCACCGTTGAAAAAAGTCCGTACCGTCATAATTGATTTACATCCGTACCGCACTAGTTGTAAACACAAAAATAAAAAGTGTTCCAGTTGATATCTGAATCTACTAAGATTTGAATTCATATCCAAAATGAATATAAGGATTGTGATTATTGTCTTAAATTTCATATAATTAAAATTGCTTTAATCTTGAGTTGATACTCAGTATTTTTTATTAGTAAAATTGTCATGAATTTGTTGCAAATTTGATTATCAAAAGATTTATACTTTGAGTACTTCAAAATTTGCTCCATTACATCGGTTGTTATTACTGAACAAACTAAGTTCAACAAATAGCTTTTTACCTGTTATTAGAAAAACGGAATAGATTGAAAATTAATTTGTGTAATGTTCTAATGAGTGTATATTAGCTAAGCTAGGAACTAAAGAAGAGCAGACTATATATAAACCGATAGTATTAGATGATAGATAAGGGAATGTAGTTCCATGTATCTTGGTAGCTCAGATGATAGTAAGGTAATATAGCCTATACCTGACAATTTGATTATGCAAAAAGTTTGGAATATAACGAGGGCACTAGAGGCTTTCTCTTCTATTGCTAAAAAAGAATAGTTGAACATATTGATGAATGAACAGATTCATAATGCGTGATTGCAGAAAGAGGTGGATAGGGTATAGAAGTTACTATGTTTTGGACATGAAAGTGAGTTTTGATGTTCCTCATAGGACCTTCATGATTGATTTTCGATTATTATTTTCATCGCATGTTATTTCCCTTTTGGGCAATTCGTTGAGATATCTAATAGAATAAGCACTTCCAATTCATCACTTTAAAACCAAGTCATAACCCCATAAAAAAGCTATATACATACTTCGTAATCTGATGTATTCAGCTAAAATGCTTTGTGAAAATTACAAAAAGAAAAATCATTTATATACAAATGGCTTCTATTCTTACCAAGTTAATTCAAAGACGGAGCATATCTAGAGGTTTCGGCCCATCAAATTTCTATATATAATAATTGGTCGGATAAAATCGATAGAGTAACTTAACCAATTTGAACGGGATTGCTAGAAACTATAATGTACCTGTGTTCAACAAATCTGATGATTCCCATGAAACTTTTATTTAAATAGAAGAACTGAATAACTGATCAATCCCTCATATTTTATAATTGACGGAAGAAAAAGTCTACAATTAAAAATAATACAGAATCAACTGATAGTAAGGAGGATTCTTTCGAAAACAATTTTCATCAACGCACAAACGAACTTCGTTTCAATGAGAGTCAACTCATAAATTCATCGAGCAAAAAAATTTAAACCTTGTAGCAATACTCTTTGAATGCCAATCCTTTTTATCAATGCATTGTGTAGGTGAAAGAATTCACCGAACATGAATATAGATTAGGGTATAACGCCTTGAATAGATCAGCCTTATGTTTTGTTAGTTGAAATTTTATGGGGCGATCTTTGTTTATACAGTAAATGAAAATTTTGATAATGAAGCATCTAAGTCCTTACTACAAGGAATCTAACCTTCTAAAACAAGATACTTTTATATCTGATCATTAATTTTTCAGAATCACAAATTCCGCTTATCGTTTATCAGATATTTCGGATCTATCCTTGATAGAGAAAAATTTGAACCAATATATTTAAAGGGGCTTAAGTGTGATTCATTGATGTATAACTCTCACATATCTGGAAGATAAGATCTATACAGCTACATACTCTACATTGATGTCTAGTAGTTATCAAAGTTTTTAATCGAATTGCTATAAATAAAGTTTGATAAAGATTTCTTTTTGTTGGAACTGCTTTGTATTTGTTATTTTAGTGTAAAAGATTAATCATAATTAGTACCCAAACCCCAGATTTTAATATCATTTTGAGATTATACAAATTCTATTCAGATTTTTACATCTTGTATAATTTATAATGAACTTCCAAATTTTTTTTTTCGTATTTCACTAGATATGGATTAAACACAATTTCTTTTTTTCCATTTAATTTATACACATTCTTAGAAATATTAAATTGGTTTTACTTAACAATAAACAATAAAATATGCACAAAATATAAAAAAGCAAATGAAAAATTTTATTAATTAGCCCAGGTCAATTTAAAATTTTTTCGATAAGAATTTGAAATTGTTATCATTGACTAAACTCTTCAAATCAACACAAGATGCTTATCTTAATAAATTAGTTCATTATGCATAGGATGAGTTGGACTCAATAGTTTATTTATATAAAAACGAAATTGAACTTTTTTGACTTTCAATATGGTTTTTATCAAATCAATCAACAACTCCAGTTTTCCATATAAATATGAGTTTGGAAAAGAATTCATTGAAAATTGAAACAATAGTGAATCAAGAAAGTAGTGTCGACAATTTATCAGACCAAGATGATGTTAAGAAAGAATCAAAATGGCAAAGATTTATCAAATTCATAGAAGTTCAACCTATGGGTGATTTAACAACATCACAATTATTTTTATACAATCATGATTTAAAACCTGTTGAAAAAGCTAGGAGAACTTGGAAATGGTATAATTATGTTTCATTTTGGATTGCAGATTCATTTAACATTAATACTTGGCAAATAGCTGCGAGTATGATGCAGGCTCCGTACGTATTTCTAATATCAACCCGTTGATAGGTTCTTATTATTGTGAACAAAAATTCTTCAAATGTTAAGCTTAGGTAAAGAAAAGAAAAGAAAAGAGAAGATTGGCCATTTCCTGGAACATCAAATTGTGCTACCAAATGTTCATTTTGCAACCAATAAATCTTACAAAAGAAAATAAAATCAACGAATTATCGAAAGAATACTAACCATTTTATAGAACAGAATTAAACTGGTATACAACGTGGATATCTATTTGGTTAGGTTATTTCTTGGCTGGTTTTTTCTTATCAATTATTAGTAGAATCGGATTAAATGGAATTTCCTTTCCCGTTACAGCGAGATTATCGTGGGGACTATTTGCGTCCTTGTGGCCCATCCTTAACCGTGTGATGATGAGTGCCGTATGGTTTTCCCTTCAGAGTCAGCTTGGTGGAAATATATTCACAGTCTTCATGACAGTCTTTCTGAAGAGCTTGCCTGATAGAATGAGCAAAAAATTGGATGGGGAAGACTTAACTTCATTACATTTTTTGGGTTTAGTATTATTTGTGATTTTTCAAGGTTGTTTTCTTTGGATTCCTCCCCATAAGTTGAAGTATTTGTTCACAGTAAAAGCGTATTTTGCTGTTGGAGGTGGGTTTGGATTAATGATTTGGGCACTTGTCAGATCTCATGGTTTGGGAGATGTTTTAAACAGACCTAACGGTGTCCAAGGATCAGCTCTTGCTTGGGCGTTTGTTCAATCAACTTTAAATGCATTGTCAAATTTTGCTACCTTAATTAGCAATTCACCCGACTTTCTGCGGTTTGCTTACAGTCAAAATTCATTTGCAATGAAGTATTTGGTGCATACTATAAGTATTCCCGTTTGTTTTGGTATCACATCATTGATTGGAATTTTGGTCACAGCCGCTGCCGAGCACGAATATGGGACAACATATTGGTCTCCAATTGATGTCATGGCTAAATACTTAGAAAGTTTTACACCTGGTATCAGAGCTGCTATTTTCTTCATTGCACTTTCTTTCATAGTAGCTCAATTAGGTACCAATATATCGGCCAATTCCTTATCGTTCTCCACAGACGTATCGGCTGTGGCAGCAAGATTTATTAGTATGTTTTATTTGTGTTGTTGTGTTGTTCCCGAGTTGAACTTAATCAACAAGAGATCTGAAAATCGATTTACTAACTCAGCTTTTAGATATCAGAAGAGGGAGTTATATTTGTTTAGCTTTAGCTCTTCCAATTTGTCCGTGGAAGCTTCTTTCATCTTCATCCACTTTTACTACTTACTTATCAGCATATTCAGTTTTTCTTTCATCAATAATTGGTGTCATGGCTTGTGATTATTATTATGTTAGAAGAGGTTTTATTAATTTACCAGACTTATACTCATTAAGATCACCTACTGACAAATCAAAGTTATCACTTTATGCATATAACAAATATGGGGTCAATTGGAGAGCAGTTGTTGCTTATATTTGTGGTATATTACCAAATATGGTTGGGTTTGTTGGAGCAACTGGCCATAAAGTCCCAATCGGTGCTACTTATGTGTACAGAATTAATTTTTTTGCTGGTTTCTTTTCATCATTTATAGTTTATGCTGTATTATATTATCTATTCCCATTTGATACAGGTATTCCAAAGTTAAAACCATTTGAAAAAGGTTGGTTTGAAGAAACTCATGATGTTGAAAATTTTGAAGAAGAAGTATTTGGTCATGAACTTGTCGGAATTGAAAGATATGAAAATGATGACGAAATGAGTTTGTATCAAAGGAAAGAAAAGGTTTGAATCTGATTGATAATATTTTAATTCGTGTATATTTTTATTGAACTTATAAGATAGTTGCAGGTAGTTGCAATTTGTTTTCATTGCAGTTTTAAAATCTCTTAGATCTGGATCTAAGAATACCGCTTAAGAATAAATGAATAGAAACTTTGATATTGTGTAACTAAATTTGTAAAGCAAATCGCATAATCTAATTTTTTTGTCTTGTTGATTATTGTTGAGAGAACAAAAACTACGATATAATCAATCAAAAAAGATTGCAATGTCTTTTTCATTTCACTTTCTTTCATCATTGCTCAGTTGGGTACTAATATCTCAATTTGTTTCATCAACAAAAGATCGATCTACGATAAAAACCAAATGCAATAATTCATATACAATTCGGAGTGAAATTTAAGGTTTTGTGCAATTATCTGTATGTAATTTTAAGTTTTCAAATTTTACTTTGTCCTTGAAAAGCAAAGTTTTATTTGACATATATTCTTAAGCTTATACTTAATTTATCATTCACTTCAAGCTTAAGAGGTGTATATGACTCAAATAGATCCAAGCCATCAACTACCAAATCTTATCAACTTATTGAGTATAAATTGTTAATAATTACCATAGTTGAAATAAATAAAATGAGACCAAGAAAAATGCATATCATCTTAAACATAAGAAAAATTGTTAATTAATATGTATTTTGTGTGATATCCCCTCTTTTTTAATGTTTTTATATTTTTTGAATTCCCGGAAAGATTATTGAATAACTTATAAATTCCGTTCCGAAATTATCTAATTCAAAGATTGTAATCAAAATCTTGCTTTCAACAGTGAATAAAGACCTCATGAAAGTAGATGTTAGTTTTAGTGGATTATCTCTTCACTACGTCGTCAAGTGAAGTTTAGCTATAATCAAATACGAGTAAACAGGATCTTAAATTACAAAGAAACAATAAATTTTATTACGTGTCTACTCAGTTTAACCAGAAATGTTCATCACTTTTCTAGTTTTCTCGTTTGGATGGGACGAGGATGGTACGGATGAAATTTCTGCTAGATCGACAGGCTTTACTTTTGTGTTTCTTAAAAGTGTGATTTAATGAGATCATCTATCTGATCAGCGATGAACAGGAAAGGTACAATTGTTTTAATTAACACATTGAACAGTTTAACTTCTTCAGCCTCACAGGTTACGAGCCAACTTTTTACAATCAATTTAACTCGAGATCTTTATTGCGTTTCCAAACGCAATTTCACTCAAAAGCGTTTTCATAGATCACATAAAGCCTCACACAAAATCTAAGATTGCCGACTTAGCAAATACCGAACAATCAATACTTTTTCCGTACTAGATTCTGGACAAAGTAAATTAAAGTTTAAAAAGAATGTTGTAAGCATCACCATTTATACATTGTTTAATTTAGCAAAACTTTAACCTTAAGAATTTTATCTTCATTCTTTCCATCTTAATCTTAGATTTTATCAGAGTGAATTGATTTCTAAACTGTTACAAATAATGAACTTTATTCAAATATAGTATAGTTTCTTAATTTAGTTATTTCGTAATATTTATGATTTATAAACATTGAATGTTACTACATTTTTATGTCATATTAATTGTCACAACAAATAAAAAGTGTAATACAATTTGAGATATTAACACTTTTTTTTACCTCAAAATAAATTGAATTGTTTAGTATTTTACAATTTACTCTACAATTTCATATATCTACTCAAATACTTTTACAACCACTCGAAAAGAGAACATTTGAAAGTACCAAGCTGATAGCTTAATTTATATGCTCAAACAAATTGCATCAAAAGAATTTTAAAGAAACTGTATCAATAGACAAAGAATGTGAATATGAAAATATAGAGAAGATTATTTATCAAAGAATAAAGTACATTATTTGTAAAACTACAGGAGTCAAAATTCATTAATTATCTCCTATAACTATTTAAAATCAGAAATTCAAAGTTTCCAAAGCACTAATGAAGGAATAGTCTTAATGACTCAACTGATGATGTTTATTGTTTTCAATTCTGGTCGTACACAATTTAATTTTATTTTTATCAAATGATCTACTAGAAACAATTATCAAAGGGAATTAGACTTATAATAGAAATATTCTCGAAAGTTTAATATAAATCGTTTATGGTGCTTCAATTTTAAAATACAAAAATGATAATTTTAAATTTAATGAATGATTATATGGTGGTGAATTTTTTGATGTGAAATACAATTTGATGATGCAATCTTTTAACGGTTAGATATATGTTTCATTTATTATGCAATGATCATTCTGGTCACATTTGGATGGTCAATCATCAACTTCGAAGCCAAATAGGAATAGATTAGATCTTTGAATTCATACTTGACTATCGTTGCTAATCAGTAAGTCTGATTTAACAGGAAGAATAGATTAAAAAAATACCTGAACAGTTCTGACAGTGTCTTACATTGGTATTCAAGATTCTACAATCCAAGCATTAATCATATATTAATATTATTTATTATTTCATTGATCCGCAATTAAAAGGTTAGATTGGAATTTTAGTAAATCAGATAATTCTTTTATTCATTCTAATATAAGATACTCAATTACATAAAGAGATATTGAATATAAAAAGTAAATTCATTAAAATTTGTTATCTGATTTGAATTCATTCATTTCAACTTTTTTTATTCTTCATAAATCATCACCACTATCACCAGCATAATCTTCATCATCAACATTAACATCACCAACTTCTTCTTCTTCTTCTTCATCAACATCATCATCTTCTCCTTCTTCTTCTTCATCAACAACAACATCAACTTCTTCATCAGCAACAACATCTTCATCAACATCATCTGTTCTTGAACGTTTTAAAGATTTTGAATTTCTTTGATCCGCTAATCTTGAAGAACGTCTTAATCCTCCTGATTCATTACAGTCATAATTGGTGGAAGTCTTTCTTTTTTTATTCGATTTACTACCAGCTCCACTTTCAATTCTTTTCTTAGTTTCATAAACAGGTCTCCAATTTAACGGCTTTTGGTACTTAATATAAATAATGTCAATAATGCTTAACCCATTAAATTCTTTGATCTTAGATTTTATTTCTTCAATAACATTATCTGACCCCAAATTTTCAAATACCTTTTTAACTTTTGAAACTTGATCAGTTGAATAAGTTTTATTTTTAAATTTTTTATTTAAACCCTTAAAGCAATTTACTAAGTCACCATCATTTCTGCTGAGTGAATAATCACTTTTCAATTTATTCATAGCTTTTAAGACTGAAACTGATCTATTTAATCCATACAACAATACTAATTCTTCTTCATTATCATTATCAGCAGTATTTTTGATCGATTCAATTCTCAATTTGGTGAAGAAAAGATAAACAACATCCAAAGTGTCTAAATCTTGTAGACTTTCCTTTTTGGATTCAATATCTTTTAATATTGTATCTGGTGTAGAATCTTTAAAATTATTTTTAACAAATTGTAATTGATCTTCCGTATATAATTTATCATCTAATGCAGCCATTGTTCTATCATATAAAGACTTAAGCGCCTTTGGAGTTCTTTCATCAAATTGAGTTTCACTCAAAGATTTAAAAGTATCTGGCAATGAACCATTTTTAGACACTTCATACACTACTGATAATATTTCATGACAGGAATAATGTCTGTTTTCTTTTGAGCTATTTTTTACCAATTGAAAATAAATATAAGTAATATCATAAACACTTAAATTTACAAATTTATTAATATTGTACCTAAATTCAGATAACAAATCCGCATCTTTTATATTTTCAAATTCTTTTCTGACCTGTTCAATTTGATCTGATGAATAATTTCTCTCTTTTAATTCTAACATTAGTCTTTTGTATACGGTGCGGGGTGAATCAGCACTTCTTCTGCTTCCAAAGTATTTTGATTTTAACTCTTCGCATGCTTTTTTCATTGAACCATCCCGTGATAAACAATAAAATAATACTAATTCTCTTTCATTAACCGTATAATTTGTTCCTTCATTCACAATATCATTGAATATAATATAAATAATTTCCAAAGAACTTACATCTTTAAAATTTTCTAATGAATTTTTAATTTCAAGTAATAAATTGTTGTTATTTGGATTTGGAAATTTATTTTTAACATTATTAATTTGATTCAAGGTGTAACTATTACATGACAATCTTCTAACTAAATCTTCCACATATTCAGTAGCGGAATTTAAATCCATATTGAAATAATAACCATGATTTTTTAATAATATGAAAGCCTTTTTTAATGAAGTGTTATGTGCATAATATGAATAAAGTAGAATTTCACTTATTTTAATATCAACATCAATTTTTTTATTTTGTTTTATAGCTTTTTGTGTTTCA